TGTGCTACACCTGTCCTACAACCCTCAGCTAGCTGAGACTAAATGCTTCTCGATATATTCGTCTCGGTTTCAGTTTTCACTCTGGAAAAGACAGGTGGTCAGGTGGCTGTGGTGGTCCCCCATTTGATCCAACGTTCTTTTGAAAGTGTCGACATATGGAGCTTTAATCATGTGTTGAGGTAATAGATTCCACTCGATGATGATTCGATGGGGAAGTCGATAGTCAACTGACAAGTAATTTGTTTTGGGATTGTGAAATATTTTTGTATGTCCTCCCAAATTCTCCGTTTTGGAAGACGAGAAAAATAAAAGCATATCAGGTGTAATTTTATCATTAAGTAATTTGAAAGCTATGATCAAATCCCTACTGGTTCCTCGATATGATAATGGAAATAAGATTAGTTCAGTCAGTTGAGTAAAATACAAGAGCCTCGATATTCCGTGATTTAGCTGGGTCGCGGTTCGCTGAAACCGTTTCGAAAGCTCACTGTTCTTTTCAATAAGGAGCTAGCTTGTATACAGTACTCAAATTTAGGATGCACGAACTTTAGCCAACATATTGACCGTAGGGTTCCGAAAACATTGATGGCTCTCGCACGACGGCGTGCAATACCTTTTTAAGTCTTGGCTAATGATGACTCGTAAGTCATCGTGTGTTTGGATGACAAACAGCTCAATATTAACGACAGCTTTTCGAAAATACCTTCAAACCTTTTCATTTCATAGATCTGATTTGGATGTACTGGAATACTTCGATTATAAAAGTGTTACGTGTATAGCGTTGTCGAACTCCGAATATCTGTGGCATCTTTACGTGATTGCCAGGTGACATACCTTCTTTTGTAACTGACTAGAATAATGTCTTGAAAACTAGAGGTAAGAAAATGAAGAAGAGTAGGGGTGAATACAACCTAAGGTATCTAGAAGTTCTATGTCCAAAACAGACTGTCTGATTAGGTTCTTTCGCCTCAAATAATTGATCCTATTGATGACACGAAATACTGTTTCAAACAGCTGACGAAACTGTTTCATTTACGCACTGTAGTCGTTTACTAGGATACTGGTGGAATTTCACTAATTCAGTTAGTTCATACTGCTATGCCTTGACCATACACAGTAAAAAAAATAATTCACACAATCTTCAACAGTTTTATTTGTCCCCATTCAGGGTACGGAATCATGTTATTTCCTCCCTCACTCCCAAGGATAAGGACACTCTGAAACGTATCGAACGGCGAGCCACGATATCAGTTTGGATAGTCATATTCAAGCCTCATGCTTCCAATTACCAAACCTTTACCCAATAGAGCACAGACGTCTTAGAGGTGATCTTTCAATGGCTTACAGCACCCTAAATACTTCTATACATTACCTTAAACACCTACTTAAGCTTAGAGTGAACACAAACCTTAGGGGTAACATCAGGAAACTGAAGACAACACACTAGAACAGACTGTAGACACATCTTATACTCCCTAAGAGTACTCAGATGCTGGAATTCGCTACCTGCTGAGCTAGTACAAGCGACTTCTCAGGAGTACTCTAAGAGGAAACTTGATCTATTCTTAAGGACAAAGATAGTATAATACTATGATTTGCCAATTATTTTCGTTTCCCTCTTTTATTGATAATATATCTAGGTTCCTGCCTTAAGGTGTTAGTGACCCACTGCTGCTAGATACGGAAGCTCATTAAGCGAAAGCTTCTTCCATTCCTTCCAAGACTATTTAAAACATTTTCGGCGCTGATTTAATACTCAACGTCACGGTAAGGTAACGATAGCCTTATTCGATCAGCATATTGTTTAGATTATCGGATTGTATTGATTTTAAGTTTTTGTTGTTGCCACTTGATCTAGACCCTAATCTTTACACTTTGGTTTCATGATTATTTATTATTTGGTACAGTTAGTAAAATCTACACAAGGTATGTCCACGATAGCGTAGACTTGGATGCGCTGTAGCTCCGTTAGTATTCCACATCAATCAAATGATGTGCCATGAGTAATCATTTAGTGTGACTGGAAACCAACGTCTAGTTTTTAATTATTAGTAACTACATCTTCACATTACATCTAAGGATATTAGTTGAGTGTTCGAGTGTATTTGCCCTTTGTTTCGTGCATACATCGCGCTTGTCAATACAGTCGTGCAAATTGTGGAAGAAGGGTAGTTGAACCCAACCGTTTTCTATATTTTTTGTCGAGTTGAAGTTTCTACAACCAGACAACAAATCAACTCGTAGAATAAGTACTAAGAGTCTAACTTATGGGAAATTATGCGATAAAATCTATGGTTTTGCATGCGTAATTTGGTATTTTTCTCAATAAGTAAGCTAAAGTAACTCCCGGCATTTCCATTACTGATATTTGCTTGACAAAACCTCTATATCATGAGTGGTTTATCTAATTACTTATACCACTGTGGTATACATATATAATATCTAAAGGCTGTGAAATCCCTACCATACATCATCGATATAAGCCATTGTTAAGTAAAACTTAACTGTTACTTATAAAAGCGACGTAATATGTGTGAACACTTTGGAAAGTTCTAGCGATGCCCCAGAGATTGAATTCAGTCACTTTTAGGGAATAAGTTAGAATTATTTCCCCAACTATGCCAGTTTCTTCGTGGAGCATTCGAATTCTGACCATTGGAGTGCAGGTTTAAAATCTCACCACTTTCATTTCGAATAGTACTTCCACTACTTTAAACCTAAAGTGTGACTGAAAGCCGAGTCTCTCTGTTTGTTGTAACAAGTCCTTATTGTCGTACTGATCAGGCTTACCTGTGTTGCAGTTATCAATGTTCGAAGATGACCATGTTTCTCTCAGATGAAGTAGGGAAAATATGATGAATATATTTTGTCACAATCTCATTTGTACCTGTAGGTTACCTAGTTTGCCTAATAGTCTTGTTTTTCATCGATGCATCACAATATTTGTCACTATGTAATCCTTTCATAACGATTTTCCGTTTATACTCACTAAGCTCTCTAACTTGACTACTGTATACGGTAAGACGAACTAGGTAATACGCTCATAATTATTTCACTGATGGACGGCAAAAGAGGTTACAATCGTTAGTGAGTAAAATAAAAACTTATGACCAGGGCAGTGTAAAATACAATTTGCTAATTGTTGAAAATATAAATACCGATCCCCAAAGATTAACTTCTGAAGTCTCATTTTTTCGTCTTACCTTAATCTCTTTAACCACCATCATATCTTTGACCGTGTTGATCATATGGTGTCATACCTCAACAAATCTTACCTCATCATCTTGTAGTATTCAAGTATACAGAGCTTGTCCCCTGATGTACAACAACTTAGAATGTCTATCTAATCAAAATATTGTTGAGTCACTTGATACTATTTCTATGATCTGAGCTCAACAGGTTTGGCGATTATTATAATTTTTGCTATAAATCGCTTATAAGTATCAACTAGTTTAATACATAATGCTTAATTCAGATGTGCTATTCCGAGTGTAAACTTTGAGGACCTGATAAATTAACAATTAAAATTTATTTATTTATATGAACACAAATATTTGTACAAAGGGGCACTAAATACATATGCGCCACACAATAACAATGAGAACGTGAAGAGATAGAGAGTGTAAAGTGCGTATAATAAAAAGGAGAACAATAAAAAGCAGAAAATAGTGTGTAAAAATGGAATAATAACAGTAGGAGAGGCAGTGCAGTTAGCGAAAATATAACCAAAAAAACTTCCATTCAAAGAATTTAAGTTCATTTTTTTATGAAGAAAGTAAAATAAAGTTGCAACAGGGTCGCCACTGGCTTCTATTCTGAGCCATATCTGATAACGCCTATAGCCACTGTGTCCTTCTATCTCTAGGACCTCAACCAGGGGATCGTGAAAGATCAACAGAAGCCAGACCTTAACAACGGCACTAAGTTATACACTGACCAACTCTCCGCTTTTCCCAACCAGCCCCAGCGTCGCCAAATAATACACGACATGGAATTCTGCGGGACGACATTCGTTGAACATTTCCAAGCCACCGAAGTCGGTGTTTTAAGATAGTGACATCAATTGAATTACCGTCGCTTTGCCCGAACAGACGATGCCAAACCTCTGCATTATTAACATGATGTTGCCACTGGGTGTCAGCAATCCGTCGGTTACAACAATGATAAGACACAGAGAGTCGTCTAACACCGTCAACTCGGAGAGGCTAGTATTCACAAACATAGAGCAAAACTGCTCTTACCGACGCGTTGTAGGTCCAACCTTTTACAGCCAGACTAACACCACGAAGGCGCCAAAGATGGCCCAGATTACTACACGTGGATCGACCTCATCACTAACGCCAACACCAGCACTTAAAAAGAACTGTATATTCATGTGTCGTGCTCGACTCACAAACTAGTTAGTTTTTCGCATCCTTATTTCTTTACCGGGGTTAAACTCGAAACTTTGGTAAAAATTGTTTGAGATGCTGGACGGTGTTGAGTCTTATTGAAGCACTTTTGGCTTTAGCGCATATAAAAGCTTTTCTAAACAAAAACTACCAACACATTACTCGTTAATTATTCTGATTTAGTTGACAGGTTCGTGTACCCAACATAAAGTGGCGCACGATTGCTGACATAGCGTCAGGTTACAAGTTCATCGAAACGGGGTTTAAAACTGGGACCTAGTGGTTGGAATGCAAGTAACCTACTATATGAGCAACCGTATTACAGCATCATACGCCAAGACTCGTTTGAAGCAGCCGGTTAAGTAAGGGTTCCAATGGCGAAGACACTTTCGATTTTGCACTCAGGATATCGTAATTTTTTCAAGTTATTCACTGGATTGCTACTAATGGTTAAGATGTACTTGAATCTCAGTAACTGTGGTTGGTACACATCTTTCGGAAGATCGTTTAATGGTATTACTTGTTTTATTTACGTTCAGTTAAAAGTAGTCGGAAACCCGCCATCCAGTCTTACTACGTGTAACACTTCTGATGGCTTGATTAACAGAAATGTCGTTCCGGTCAATTGTGCCTCCGCCCGACTTTTTATCAAAAGCCGAGTTCAACAGACCTTGTGGTCGGTCACCAAATAAAATCTCTACTCTGCTAACTAATGTGCAGCGAAGAAATGTTCAAACACTTGCTCCAACAGAATCTAAAGACCTAACATTTTTTCAAATGGCTGCTCAGGGTGAGCTGTTGTTGCTTCAAAGGGAAATAGAAAGTCGAAACTTCAATATAGATGTCCCAGATAACCAGGTTAGTAGCAAAGTAACGCAACCTACTTAAATATGTGACAGACCAGTAAATGCATGTAAAGAAAATTCTTAAAATTAACACTATCGTCTACATCTTTTTCGTCAAACTCCTAACTTACTCTGAGTTTAATTGTTAATACCCTACAGTTTTTCTGAGTAGTTCAAATTACAAGGTACAGTATTCTGGCCACCACAGTTTAGAGAAATCATAAAAGAGAGCTTGACGGAGTTATTAAGTGGATTATTTTACATTCGTTTTGATATTATGGCTTATGTACCAAGAGCCTATATATATATATATATATATAATATATATATATATATATATATATATATATATATATATATATATATATATATATATATATACTTTACCAACAATATGTAGTATTGTTGCCAATGTTGATTTGGACACGCTATGCGACCAACAAACCAAGCAAAGGGTTAGAAGTATATCCCGTTCTGCATTCCCAAATAGACTATATTTAGATTTTTCCAATGAGTCGCCTTACACGCGTTCTAAGTTCAATCAGCTTTTATTACAGTAATGCATCTACTTGCACATACTTACTATTTTTTTCAGCAAGTGTTTCGAAAAAGTTTGGTACCTTTTCCCTTGATTTTGGTATACTTAGATTATTTCATATGCCTAGAATTTGACTACTATCATCCATTCAGTGGATTTAAAACTCGATTCAAATGACAGTTTTAAGTTACATTTCACGATAACATTTACATGGTGTATTTAGTTTACAATCATATAACGGATAAGTGCTTGTTAGATCTAATTTTGTGTACACATTTCATAGGTTTTCTGGGGTTTTAGCCGCGGGTTCTTATAAATTGACATGAAGTCTTGATCAACAACAAAACACCAGTACTTTCGACACATACTGAACCCCAACCGTATAAGAGATTACTGTGGAATTCAGACGTTCTTTTGGTGGTTTGGCTTTGAAGCCGGGAGTTCCAAATTGCAGAATTGGTATAATAGTTGCTCATTTTAATCCCTTAGTAGGGATATTTTTTGACAATGCAAGTCGACAATATTGCATTTCAATCGAAATAGATGCATGGAGTGAGATGAAGAAGTTGTCGCCACTAGAAGTATATATATGACAAGGTAGGAGTTCATGAGAACTAAACCATTCTGATAAAAACCTAACGCAACATATGCGGATAAAACAGCTCTTCTCAAGTTCAGACCTGACCATCAACAGTGCAGTTTGTCTTTTATCAGGACGAGTTGGCTTTTAGAAACACATACCAACGAAAGACAGTGCCACAAGACCTCCTAACTGATGAAGTTAGATTTTATTTATTTATTTTAACACATCGATATTGGTAGAAGGAGGCGCCAAATACATATGCGCCACACAAACCTCATTTGGTTCGTGTGAAGGCTGTGGTACTGCTCGAGTGCTCAAACAAAAGCAGGTGGTTTTCTTGAAAGGCCACACCCGGAGCCTTCGACCTGAAGGTCTGATCCACAAGGCAGTGGAGCATCGTAAGGAGATGCAGTCCCATGGTATCCGGTGACCAACAATTGGCTCATACGCCATTTGTTCCTTCAGGATACTGGAGCCCATGTGCACCATTGGTTTGGAATCAGGGTTTTTCAACTCCCTTAGGTGGACTCAACGTGTTCACTGGCCCGGTTAAAGCGCCGGACATTCGCTTTTCGTCCTCTCATTTTCGTAAACAACACCCCCTCTACGAGGCGGTGAGTAGGACTTCCTTGGCAGGGGCTGTATACGCGTGGCCGTGTGAGGGCATTAGAGAGGGAGAGCGGACTCTCCCTACTGTCGGCCGTACCAGGGCATTTGGGGGGCGTAGAGGTTTGATTTAAACTCTTACAAATGAAAGAGTTTATTCTAAAGATCCTTACTAGCGCGTCCTAACAGTAAATATCGGTTTATGTTTCCCCACAGGTCTCTGGATGACCTTTGTTTTCCAGATGCCTCCCCGTCAGTACCAGTTTATTTGTCTAAAGCGACTAAAATAAGTCATTTAGAGTTCTCATGGGTTAGTTCCCTAGATAAGCTTTTATGAAGCAGTCACAACAATTTTAAATGAAGGCGAATAAAGCTAGACACCGACGACACGATAATTCAAACCATTTAAAATTGAATTAACTATATGAGATATTTTAAAGATTCAACATGGTGGAAAAAACGAAGTATATTATTTCACCAGTAAAATTAATCATTAATTCACTTTACAATCGTGCACGTATTTATGATTACTTCTATCAGTAAAATAAATTTTTTGCCCTTGATAATACATTTATAAAACATCTTGTTTACACAACTAATACTTATGCTGAGCATTAAAAAAACAACGCAAAACGAATTCACTTTATCTAACAATGTTTGGTGTTATTTCATTACAAGCTATTCAAGAATCCTTTTTTTTGTGGTGTGAATATCGATACAAGTACATGCTTTTAATGGCTACTTGGCTTTAATATGCTCTGTTATTTAATTTGCAGGGATTTACTCCACTGTTATGGGCTTGTGCTAATGGACAGAAGGCTGCAGTGGAGTTACTCGTTTTCTATGGTGCAAATATCATTCTATCTGGAGATAACGGAGAAACAGGACTGCTCCTAGCTGCTAGCCGCGGTCACTTTGATGTGGTTCTTTACTTGCTCAAGGCTGGATGCCCAGTAGACCTTTCCGACGAACTGTGCAACACTGCGTTAATGTTCGCAGCCTATAACAATAACGCCGCAATCGTGTCTCTGTTACTCGATTGGGGTGCTGATATTACTTCTATAAATGCAGATGGGTGGACAGCACTGGATTTTGCTATACGACGAGGCTCACGTGCTAGCCAACGTATAATTGAGAAGCATATTTTATCTCTGTTGCAAACTCATTAGTTTTTCAAACCAAAGCGATTGGAAAGTTTTTTCCATGTTGGGATGTATTTATGTGGTTTTGTATTTGTCATCATTTAAGCTCGATAATTTTCGGGCATTTTCACATGCATTGTAAAATTGTCTCAACGTGTATGTATAGATAAACGTAAATTAATAACTTTTGTTAACCCACGTAGTACCGACTTATCTGATGTTTTCTTAACTGTGGTGAACATATCAGATCACTGAAATGTTTCGTACCGTGTAATCATTTGGGAGAAAACGTCATCTACAAGCGCGTGTTCAATATCAATGTTATCACTTGACTTACGCTCACTTTTAAACTAGTCTATCTATTCGAACAATTGTGACCGTTTTTGAAAGGCAACAAATGATCGTTCATGAGACCGATGAGTAGGAATCATATTCGTTTGATGCAGTAGGTATGGCTGGTTGATATTGAGCAAACCAAATAATCCAAAAGTACAGCTCAATCACATCTGTTCTACCGAACGTTTCTATATCTTCAATACCAATACAGTGATGAATGTAAGTATAAGGCTTGCGCGCATCTACCAATAAACACAACTTGACTAGGAGTTCGCTTCTTAAATGTCATCATTTTGTGTGAAATGATAGAAACAGCGATGAGTTACAAGATCACTGTCTTCATAGTGGTAAAGTCTACTAGGTCTACGAGATGGTAATGGAATTAAAACCGACTCAAAAGATATTAGTATAATTGCGACTATCGAACTAATAGTTTGGTGGCAAAACTGTCCCCATAATCCGAAGCAAAAGTATTTCAGAAAACAGTCGTCACCCAACTGGAATATGTTCGGCTGAAACGATTTCGTGAAAAATTTGGTCACTTAAATCACATCACTATTTTATTGAATTGATTCTGTCGTCATAAAATTTCCCACATCAAACCAAGCAGCCTGCTGAAACACATGTACTAGAGTGTTTATCGATTGGGTACCAATCATGCATCACATTATAAGCATTTAGATATGTTGCAAATAGGTCATTCTAATCGTTGAGTTATGACAGCGTGTAAATTGAAGACGAGCTTGGTCTGTTGAACTTCGGATACCATTTACTCGAGGAAATTCTTGCATGTCAGATGAAGTGTTTCGTTCACAATATTATGGATCGTACCCAATTTAATCCGTGAACCCAAAGCTTAAGTTAACTGGATATACGTGACAGATAATCTCATCTTCCTCGTTTTTGATGTAGAGATCCACTCGTGGGTAAAAATAAACTAGTTAAAAGTACATACAAAATAACGCACCGTTTCTTATGTTACAAAATCTCCAAAAAATGAGACCATCCCGGTGAAATTCAATAGAAAACAGCTTAGTTGAGTTACTTTCATCGCCCAAGTGTTTCATGAAACTATCTGTGCGCTATAATAAGTAAAACCAAATCTAGCTGTTTGTGATATACTGAGGGATTAGTTAATGAATTTAACATGGAGCAAACTAGTTAGTCAGTAGCTTGCACAGTAAGATTATTTTAGTTCCAATTATGATGCTTAGTCGATCACTGACCAGGTTATGATCGGACTCAATTTTTTGACGTGTGAGTTATTAAAAATTAGAAGTCGCACCAGCTAATGATCGCTAAAAGTAATGTAAACCAACTATAGTTGAGAAAGTGGGTGCGTTAATACATAATTTATCCGTTTTGATGTTAATTAATTACCCTAGACTTCATTAAAGAATGCAACTAGCCTTTTCGAATAAAAGTTAGCAGATGGAGAAATTATCTTAAAAATATAGAGTAGGTAGTAAGACATCTTATCAGGACTACGTGATATGTTAGCCTAATACATTTCGAACAGTCTAACTTCCTAAGATATACGATAAAAGTGAAACCGAAGCATATGAAAAATTGGCGACAAGAAACAATGAACCACAATAAGACGGTCTTTGTTGCAGCGTATCAAACAAAATTATTTTCACCTGTACGACTAGTCAGTAGATGACTATTGACTTCGAATTATTTGTTTCTTTTAAATTAGCTGAACATATTGAACTGTGACACTAATGTTATTATCGGTATCAATGGGAGTCTAACGTTAATCGATTTATAATCTCAATTCAAAACATGTTATTGCCTATCATGAGCTGGGACTCCACGAATCGGATGATAATCCGTGTTTCTTTACACGCAGTACATATTAATGGAGACTGCTTCATGACAATGGATGATCAGATTAGTCTGTCTAAAGTATTTTACACCACAGGTTGCTAAGGGCCTGCGTAGGTGAGGAATAGCCGATGCAGAAAGATACTTTTACTAGTTTTAACAACACAATCCCAAATTGCTGCTAGCAATGTAGAGGCGATGGCTTTAAATATTAATGAATATTGTTTATTGCGTGAAACATACCTGTATTTCCGGTACTTATTCCTTCGCTTCCGAGATTTAAATCAAAGCTGCAACGTGATAAGTCAGGTTATGTGGACTACTATCTGCAAAACCACACCCAAGGCCACTAAGATATAGTCGACATTCACAGAATTTTGACATGCCACCTTTTAAAACTAAGATGAATCATAGATTGACAAGTTTTTATGAATCATATCACTGAACAACCTTATTTTTGTTTCTTTATAAATGTGTTGCTTTTCCATTTAAAGGGGAAAAGAGAGTGAGTAACTGACGTGGTAAAAAATAATGTAAATTGACTGTTAATCGAAGCGTGAATAATATTTTAAGTAAATGTCCTCATTCCATCCTATTTGTATATGGGCTGTGGTACTGCTCGGGTGCTCAAACAAAAGCAGGTGGTTTTCTTGGAAGGCCACACCCGGAGCCTTCGACCTGAAGGTCTGATCCACAAGGCAGTGGAGCATCGTAAGGAGATGCAGTCCCATGGTATCCGGTGACCAACAATTGGCTCATACGCCATTTGTTCCTTCAGGATACTGGAGCCCATGTGCACCATTGGTTTGGAATCAGGGTTTTTCAACTCCCTTAGGTGGACTCAACGTGTTCACTGGCCCGGTTAAAGCGCCGGACATTCGCTTTTCGTCCTCTCATTTTCGTAAACAACACCCCCTCTACGAGGCGGTGAGTAGGACTTCCTTGGCAGGGGCTGTATACGCGTGGCCGTGTGAAGGCATTAGAGAGGGAGAGCGGACTCTCCCTACTGTCGGCCGTACCAGGGCATTTGTGGGCCTCTATTTAGTTTTAAGTGTACCGTTTATATTTTCTCAACAACTAAACATACAAACTTAAATTAAGACAGCTTTAAGTTTGAGAGTGATATCATTTCAATTATTACGTACAAACCGAAATGTTTCTAATTTATAGCACATTGTAACGAAGCATAATTAATTACTAATATTGGTAACTTTTCGTAGTATAAATAAGTGATTTGTGTCACAGAAGTGGTGATACTTTCGTTGAGATATTTAGAGCTATCTTTATTTATCAAACACAAATCTTCCCTTCTGTTTGAAAGATGAGAGAGTACTACAACCCAACCATATGTGGAGTTCAGGTTTTTGTATCCAAATTTCAGCCAGATTTTGTGCGAGGGCTAACGATATTACATGCTTGTCCAAACTAAAGTAGATGGGGTTGTACTCGAATTACGATCAAGAGGATAAAAGTCCAGTGTCCTGACTACTAAGCCACTGCCTTATTGATACTGTGAAGTTCGCAGATATAGAGTTCAGTAAATACATCTAGGATTTTTCAGTATCGGCCGATTTTCTCTTATTTTTGCCAAAAATTATACAATAAACGGTAAAATATTTATATTCCTGCGTTCGCTGTGTGTATAAATATTTGTGTTAAGAATCAGATTCATTTTAAACGGAAAAAGATCGCACTACACAGCCAGAGGTTTGTCAATGTCTTTATCACGCTAATCCACTTTTTTTTCTCAAAGCAGATCTATGCCTCGTCGTTTATATTATTACTAATATCATCACTAAAGAATCTCTTGGATTTGGTAATTCCACTTCGCTGTAATAGTGGGATGTGACAATTTAGTTGATGTGCACATGTGCTGAAACATACATTGCGTATAACTGACTGTTATTCTTGAAAAATTCAAAACATTATTGTAATTGTTTTAAGTTTATAAAAAGTAGCAACAATTCAGTTTGATAATCTCAGAAGTGTAAGGCATTCTTAATGAACATTTACAGACTGGCAAAACCATGCAATAAAAATAATAAGCCAAAGTAAATAATCAAGAGAAGAAACTTTACACAACCAAAACATATACTCAGGGGTATAAGAAAAAGATAAATTAGGAAACTATTTGTTATTACGGTGAGATTACTCCTGACCATTCCAATTAAAGCCACCAGGTCTTCCCACTTCTGGGAGAGGCTCATAAGCACGATTAATTTGTCGTCTATTAAACAAATATTTCCTAATATTAGAAAAATACACGTCAGCATTAATTATTCAGGCCTACATAAATTCAGGCGTACGGAGTATTCGAAATCCATTCACTTGATTAGGATATACATCTTCGAGGAAATAATAAAGATGACCAACAAAAATACCTAAACAGTTAATAATGATGAAAACCTCCTTACCAATAAGATCAACCATCATATTATTCCCAAGAAGGAAAGAAAATGCAAAAAACACCCAGGGAAGGTATGGAGCATTTACTTCTATTATCCCGAATATGTTTAGCCTCACTAGTGGATTTCTTCTACTCCAGACGTAAACAAGCATCATTGTCAAGACATGACTGAGAAACAGCATGTTAACAAACAAGGCGATTATCTGGAAAAAAAACTTAATGAAAGACACCCTACTATCGTGAGAGTTCCACAAAACAGAAACATCATGACAAAGTCAGCAGTTTTCGTACTGTACCACGTTTCTTCCAACATACGGCAGTATCGATAAGCGAACAGGATATTAAAAGAAAACTGAAATTGAACGATCCGAAGAAGCAAAACGATGTCACCAGCCTCCATAACTAGTAAAACAACTATTAAAAATACGCGAGAATACAAACCTGAAAGTTATTCGCTATTAAA